CGCCGTGGACAGTGTCTCCCTGGAGCAGCAGCACAAGGAGCGTGTGGAGAGGCTGGTGAGGGGAAGGGGCCAGTGGGGACCCCCGAGGGGGACAGGCTGCGGGTGAGGCTGGACAGGGGGTGGGGGGTGAGAGGCCGGCCGAGGCAGGAGCTGGGGGGCTGGAGCTGCCTGTCTCTTGCGCCTCTCCCTGCAGGGCTATGACCCCCTGGACAAGGGCAAGTTCTCCCCATGGCGGCGGCTGAAGGGGCGCGACTCGGCCGGCAGCCGGTTGAAGAGGAAGAAGGCGGTGGCGGCCCAGGACCGGCGGGTAGGTCTCCTCATGGGCGTCAGCCCTCCCCCTTGATGGGGGGCCGCTTGCCAGCCAGCTAGGCTCACAGGGCATCCGGGAAGCCTGTGAGCGAGAGCAGGGGCTCGGGGGTCCTTGCTCCCAGCCTGGCCCTTCTGCACAGGGACCCGGTGGGTCAGGGGCATCCCCCAGTCAGCCTCCTCGTGGCTGAGATGGGGCTCAGGCCAGGCGGTCGGCTGGGGAGGCGCTTGATGTCGCCAAACAGAGGGGAGAATGTTCCCACGTGCCTGAAAACACGTTTATTTGTGACCAGTGGCGTTTTGGGAGGGCTGCTCATCTTTCTCTGAGCTGCTGCAGCAAACAGAAGAAGTGCTGGAAGGATTCATTTGCCTTAGTGTAAAACAATTAGCCCCTTCACACACCTCCCCTTGCACACCGCCCTTGCGCTGCGGGTTGTTTTACTTTTAAAGCATTAAGGGACTCCTACCGAGTCCTTCGCCAAGGGGGACCAGCCCAAATGCAGCAAGGCAAGATGCAAATAATTTCCTCAACAGCACTGAGAAAGAAAAAGATCTCGGAGGAATTGTTGCCGGCAGGCTAAACATGAGCCTACAATGTGACACGGCTGCAGAAAAGGCAAATGCTCTTTTGGGCTGCATCCGGAGAAGCATCACTTCCAGAGTATGAGAGGAACTAGTTCCCATTTTCTCTGCACTAGTCAGACACTCACCTGGAATAATGTGCTCAGCTCTGGGCACCAAGGTATGAGAAAGATGCAGGTGATGTCGAAAGGGTCCGGCGGGGGCAACAAAGATGATCTGGGCGCTGGAAGGAGCAGCCGGGAGAACTGGGCACGCTCAGACAAGAGAAGCGAAGCCCACGAGGGATGTGGCGGCGCTCTGCATGCCCCCTGGGCTGCCGCAGAGGAAGGTCAGGATCCGTTCTCATCCGTCCCCGAGTGTCGGACACGGAATACTCGGCTCAAGTTGCAGGAGGAGGTTCCTCACAGTCAGAGCAACAAGACCGTGGGAGCAGCTGCCTGGAGAGGTGGGGGCTCTCCCAGTCGGGAGGCATTCAAGGCGAAATGGGGCCGCTGTCTGAACGGGAAGGGGTAATGTGGTGTCCTGCATGAGCAGGGGGTGGACTAGATGGCCTCCTTGGCCCTTTCTGACCCTGCTCCTCCATGAATCAATGAAATTTGTGCCAGTTGGAAATGAACCTGGCGGCTCAAGCAGGGTTTGAGCAAGTCACACTGCAAGGATGTCGTTCCTGCACAACTGGGGCTGTTTGCATACATTCAGCAAGTAGCATAAATTTTCTTATCCTTTACGGAAAAATACACAGCACAGCTCATCTTGGAGGTGGAAGTCTGCACAAAATGAAGAAGCACGGCCTGTTTCTGAGCACAGAACCGGAGAAGGCGAAAGGCCATCGGGTCCAGCCCCGGTCCAGCTCGGTACCCCCCACCAAACCATCCCTTGCAGATGGCGGTCCAGCTGCCGCCTGAAGGCCTCTGCGGAGGGGGAGAGCCCGCCACAACTGTTGTAACCCCCCTCATGATCAGGCATGATCATACACGTAGCCAGGGCACAGCTCATCACGAGTTAGAAGCATGGTCAGAGTGTTCCTGTTCTCATGAAGAACAAGAACACGAACACGGATGTGCACGCTATGCTAAGCTGATAACAAAGCAGGCTTCGCTCCAGCATTACCAGTATCGCCGCAGACATTATGCCCTTGTACCCACGCTTGCTTGCTTTTGCATGATAAATGGGCAAAATGTGCTCTCCCCTATTGTTTCTCTGTTGTCCCCCCATTGTTTTCTGCTGTTCCCCTATTGTTCGCTGTCATTCAAGCATAAGTGTAAAAGAGTATAAAAATCAAATGTCTCCCCTCTGCCTGCTACCACACTCTCACGAGTGCATGGTCCCTGCCGGCAGGTAAAAATAAATCTCTCTCGATAATTCCAACCAGTCTCTGGTCTCGTTCGTAAAATCTCGCCTACAACAACAACCTGGGTCACATGTTCCCTTGTCCTGCTGCTCCCGGTCAGGAAGTTTCCCCTGACGTCCAGCCAGTCCGGCTTCCTGTCACTTGCGCCTGTCGGTCCGTGTCCTGAACTCGGGGATGATGGAGGAGATCCTGCGACAGCCCTTGAGGTACATACAGATGAATCTTGTGCACCCCCCCCCACGCTCCTCTTCTCCAGGCTGAACATGCCCAAGTCTCTCAGCCACTCCTGACAGGGCTCTGCCTCCAGCCCCTGGATAATCCTCCTCGCCCTCCCGTGAGCCCTTCCCAGCTTCTCTGCATCTTCCTTGATTAGAGCCGGCTGGAGCTGGGGTCAGACTAGATGGCCCAGGTGACCCCTTCTGCCTCGCTGTTTCTGTGTTTCTATGAGCAGAGCCGGCTGGAGCCAGGGTCAGACTAGATGGCCCAGGAGACCCCTTCTGACTCGCTCTGTTCCTCTGTTTCTATGAGCAGAGCCAGCTGGAGCCACGGTCACACTAGATGGCCCAGGAGGCCCCTTCTGCCTCTCTCTGTTTCTATGTTTCTCTGAGCAGAGCTGGCTGGAGCCAGGGTCAGACTAGATGGCCCGGGTGACCCCTTCTGCCTCGCTCCATTTCTATGTTTCTTTGAGCAGAGCTGGCTGGAGCCAGGGTCAGACTAGATGGCCTGGAGGCCCCTTCTGCCTCGCTGTTCCTGTTCCTTAAACGCTGGAGCCCAGAACTGGATGCAGCGCTCCAAACTAGGCCTCACCAGAGCTGAGGAAATTGAAACTGATCCTTCGTGTGGTTTGGAAACTTTTATCGATGCAGCCTAAAACAGCATTTGCCGCTCTTGCAGCCATGTCACCTTGCTGGCTCATAGTCAGGGTGTGAGACCTGCAACCCCCCAAATTCCTTCCCACGTCCAGCAGTGGAGCCCAGCACCCCCTGTCTGGCTCCCATGCCTTCGTCCTCTTGGCCGGTGTGGAGTGTGGTGTTTGTCCCTGCTGGGCTCCATCCAATCTCCTGCCTCCAGCCAGTGTTTCCGCCACCCGGCATCTCGCTCCATCTTCCACTGTTCGCTGTCCCAGCCAGTTTGCGTTGCCCGCAGATCCGAGGAATCCCAGCTGCTTCTATCGATCGCTGTGCTGCTTGGAAGCTGCTCGCAGGCCACCTTCCGCATCAGAGCTGGTTCCTTCGGCATCCCACCGCTTAGGGGCCTTCAAGAAGGACCAAAATGCACCTCCCAGGCCCCCCATGTGTGCTAGCCAGCGATAATGGGAGTTGAAGTCCAGCACATGGAGGGGACCTGGCTGGGGCAGGCAGGGGCCGAGGTGGCCATGGCACTGCTGAGGGAGCTCGGGGGCTTCCCAGTGGAAGAACAAGACAGGATGAATCTGGCAGGATCCAGCCCCATCCAGGAGTGGGCCAGGCGTCCCTGCAGCCAAGCCAGCCGGGTTCCCCACTCACCTGCTCCTGGGCGGTTGTGGAAGCACCCCTGAGCCTTGGAGGGCAGCCGGGTGGGAAAAGGACCCCTGCCCGCACCCGAGAGCGCAGTAACCCCAGGGGCCGGGGGTATGGGGATGGTGCAGCTCCCCCCACCCCCCTGCAGGCCGCACCGAGCAGGTCCGGTGTGCCAGAGGCCCCCCGAGCCGCCTCTTTGGGCCGGATTCCCGGCTGGGGTGTGTGCTCTTCTGATGTCGCCCCCCCCCCCCCCCCGGCCGGGGTCCAGAAGAGTCTGGCTGAGCAGGCTCAAGTCCAGTGGCAGCGGCGGCTGAAGGCCCAGGCAGTGGCTCCCACCGGCCCGAGGTCTGCCTTGGATCGCTTCCAGAAGTAGCGCCAGATTGCACGAGGAGAAGACTGCCCCCCGTGGAGGCAAGGGGTGCCTCAGAGTCCACATGCTCAGAGGGGTCGGCCGGCCTGAGGTCTGGGCCCCCTCCCATCGCAGTCCCCTTCCCTCCTGCCACCGCCCCCTTTGCCCACACACTGCTGAATTAAAACATTGGAGTTTACCCCTGGTTGTCTGCATCTGTTGGGAGTCGAGTTGAGTCGCCTCGCCTCACCTTTGCTGTGGGTCACGGCGGGGGGGGGCAATGGATGACAACAGGATGATGTTCAGTTGCACTTGGGGCAAAGGAAATGGGGTCACAAGAACAGGTTGGGGGGGCAAGTGGCTGGAGAGCAGCACTTGTGGTGCAGGTTGACTGCAGGCTGAACGTGAGCCAGCCGTGTGATGCTATGGCCAAGAGGGCGAACGCCACCCATGGCTGCATAGCCAGAGGTGTGGCTTCCAGATTGAGAGAGGTATTACTACCACTCTACACGACTCTGGTGCGCCCGGAACTGGAGTATTGTGCTCAGTTTTGGGCCCCTCGTTACAAGAAGGATGTAGCCAGGTTGGAGTCGGTGCAGCGCAGGGCCACAAGGTTGGTGGCCGGTTTGCAGGGGATGGGGTATGAGGCGAGACTGAGGGAACTGAGCCTCTACAGCCTGGAGAGGAGGAGACTCAGAGGGGGGTTGTTGGCAACATATAGGTATGTGAGGGGGTGTCACAAGGAGGTGGGTAGAGAGCTGTTCTACCCTGCAGAGGAGGGCAGGACCTGCTCCAACAGAGCAAAGCTCAGGGAACAACGGTTCAGCTTGGATGCCAGGAAGCACTTCCTGACAGGCAGGACCCCGAGCGTGTGGAATGGGCCTCCAGGGGCGGTGGTTGAGGCCCCATCAGTGAGGGAGTTCAAGGACAGCCTGGACATGCACAGGGTGGGCATGTCATGAGTGGAGCCGGCTGGAGCCGGGGGCCAGACTAGATGGCCTGGGAGGCCCCTTCTGACTCGCTCTGTTTCTATGTTCACCCCTGGGTCCCCTTGCATGCCTTCACCCAGGGTGGGTTTTCTCTCCCACCCCACACCCAGCAGAGGACGGGACTCTCTCCCCTCAATTTGCCAGCCTGAACGTCTCACCCACTGGAGCGGAGCACACAGAAACTTCCTGCTGAACCTGTTCTGCACGTCCCATTGAAACATTTTGGAGCTGGGAGGGTTCCCTGCAGAGGTGCTGAACTCCATCTGGCGTCATGTCCAGGAGCGTGGGGTGACCGTGCGTCCGGCTTCCTTCCGTCCTGCACGCCGACTCTTGCAGAGGGTGCCAGGTCGAGCACAGGCAGCTGCTGGAGGACACTCCAGGCGCTGGAGCAGAGTGCCCCACGGACGGGGAGGCGCTCGCGAAGCCGCTGCAGAATTTGTCTCCTCTGCCGGTGGTCCCAGCATGGCCACGGCCATGGTGGCTTCCACAGGGGACCAGGGCGACGTGTGCTCCCCGGTCCTGATCGGCTAGGCTGCAGGGGGGCTGTGGCCCAGCTCCTGGCGGGTATCCCATCCCAGGGGGCACCTGGGCACGGGCCCGGTCCTGCCCGCACACCCAGGGGGCCATCTGCTCACAGTCCCGCGAGCCAGGCCAGCGCCTTGCACCGCACCAGTCCCAGGGCCCACTGCAAGCGGCTGCATGCCTCCTCGTGGGGGGAGGCGCTATCCCACAGCTCCTCCATCACGGCGGGGGCCACACCGTGCACACTGAAGAGCACCTCCTGGTAGCAGCAGGGGTCCGGGGGGACGTGGGCGCCGCCCGACATGCGGCTCAGGTGCTGCGGGGTGATGCCAGCCCGGCGGGCGCAGAGGCCCACGAAGACGTCCTCCAGTGGCACCAGGGGCTCCAGGCGGGCGGCGCTGAGGATGGAGGGCACGGCATCCCCCGAGAGGACGTAGGCCGTGCCGCTGCAGTAGGGCGGGAAGGCGCTCTCCGGGTACAGCGCAGCGGGCACGTGGTGGCGACTGTGGGGGTCCCGGTCAGGGTGCACGTGCCAGTGGATCCTGCCCAGGTAGGCCGGCGGGGGGGCCGTGCACCCCCTGCAGGAACTGGGCCAGGGCGGGCAGGTTCAGGAACATGTCGTCGTCGGCCTTGAGCACGAAGAGGGCCCCGGGGCAGCGCGTGGCGGCCCAGCCCAGCAGCGCCAGCGTCTTGAGAGTCAGGTTGCCGTAGGAGTCATGGAAGCGGCCCTGCACGATGTCGCGCTGCGCGGCCGCCTCGCGCTCCAGCGCCGCCTGCTGCGAGGGGTCCGCCGGCAGCCCCAGCGCGAAGAAGACGCGCACCGTCAGCTCGGCGGCAAGGCGTGCTGCGCCCCACGTGCAGCGCACCGCCTGCCGCCGCCGTGCGTGGCCCGGCGCGCTGGCCACCAGCACCAGCAGCGAGGGCGCCCGCGGCGCGCACGCCCCGGCCGGCGGCAGCAGCAGGAAGGCATCGGCGGCCGGCAGCAGCGGCGCGGGCAGCGGGCGCCCGGCGCGGTGCGGCAGCAGCAGCGGCAGCGAGCGCGACAGCAGCTCCTCATGGCGCCCGCCGACCAGCAGCGCCAGCGCCGAGAGCGCGGCCAGGCCGGCCAGCAGCGCCACCAGCAGCCGCGGGCGCGGGCGCGGGCAGGGGCGCGGGCCCATGGGCTGGCGGGCGTCCGCGGCGGGCGGGGGCGGCCACCTGCGGGGGACGGAGAAGAGCCGCGCGGTCAGGCGGGCGCCCGCCCCCGTACATGCCCCGCACCCCCCCCATGCGCGTGCCCCCCGCAGCCGCGGCGCACGGGCCGTGGCGCCGTGGCCTTTTCCGCACGGCAGCCCAGGGTGCTTTCCGGGCCGCCCCTCCCCGGCCCTTGCGCCAGTAGCCGGAGGGTGGTTCCGCCGCGGCGGGCCCGGGAGGCCTCTCCATGCGGGGCCGCCGCTCGCTGAGCGCGGGCGCCACGGGGGGGCTCTCCGTCCTCCCCCTCCCCCTCCCCGCGCTTCTGGCGCAGCCCGCGCAGGGTCGGCATTTCCTCAGGGAGGACGGACCCTCCCGGGCTGCCGCCGCGCCCCATCCCGCCCCCCTTCCGCCCACGAGAGCGGCCCAGTCAGCGGCAGCGCCCCAGCGCCATGTCAGTGGAGAGCCCCGCTCGGGGGGCGGGCTCACCTCCCCTCCTCGGCAGCATCCGCGGCCCGGGAAGCGGCGGCCCGGCCCAGCCCAGCGCGTCTTCCCTGCCCGCCTCGCCTCGCCTCGCCTCGCCGCAACCGCGCATGAATTGCCGGGCGGGGCCGAGGATGCGCCGCCGCAGGGATGCGCAGCCTGCTCCCGGCCGCCGCGTTTCCCAGGCCGCCGCCGCCCCTCCGGCGCCCCTCTTCCGCCGCGGGGGCACGCCCAGGACGGCGGCTGGCCCCTCGACCACCCACCCTCCTCTCTGACCCTCTGCACCTACATTTGGCTTCCAGGACCTGCTTCCCTACCCCGAGCAGAGCAGGTCGGGGGAAGCTGCCCCAGCTGCTCTAGGCAGCTGCGCTCTCCGGGAGCAAGCAAACAGGACTTTGGCTGGGGAGGTCCCTGACATTCTTTTAAACTTCCTTTCTCTTCCTTCTGCCCCGCCCCCCCATTAGTCTCCCACCTCTTTGCAGCCTCCCCTTCACGGTGACTGAGGCCTGTGCCGGTAACCTGGTGGCTACAACAGGCCAGCAAGCCAGGATCGGGGGCGGGGGGGGAATGGGCCGCGGGGTCTGTGGCTGTCTGGGCCATGTTTGTGCCCCTGCCTGAGGGCGGCCTGGCCCCCACTGCCAAAGGGCAGGCCAGCAGCCCTGCGAGAGGGAAGGCGGGAGCACCGGGAGAGCGAGTGTCTGTCCAACTTGGGGAATAAGAGCAGAGATTCTCCAAGCACAACTCCAAACACTTCCGACAAGAAAACTGTAGAAGACAACAAAGGAAGCCCACATGGCTCCGTAAAAATTATGTGGGAGCTTGAAATAAAGAAAAAAGGACATGCATGGGAAGAGAATGCAGGGCCAGGTCCCCAATGAAGAATATAAACAGGAAATGAACTGAGAATAGCAAGTGATGCTGGAAACAACGAGAAAGCCTTCTTCGGATACCGCAGAGCAAAAGACATGTGAAAGAGAAAGCGGATGGCAGAGAGAGAACAGCTGACAAGAAAAAGGCAGAGGCACTCAGTTCCTACTTCGCCTCCGTCTTCTCCCGCAAGGAGCTCTGCAATCAAGAGGACGTACAAGCTGGAACTGAGAGCTGGCAGCCGCAGATGGACCGACAAATGGTCAAGGAATATCTAGATGGAATAAACATGCTCAGACCTCCAGGGCCCGATGAGCTCCATCCCAGAGGCATCAAAAGCTAGTGGAGGAGCCCTCAGAACCACTGGCTATCAACTTTGATACACCTTGGAAAACAGGAGACGTGCCAGACAGAAAGCGGGGAAAGATGAAGCTGGGAACTACGCACCAGTTCATCTGGCATCAATCACTGGCAAACTTTTGGAGTAAGTTATTTTTAAAAATCAGCTGCAGAAAATGCAGGAATAGTAATAGTTTTTATGTGTATTATGTTTTATTTCATTTTAAGTAAGCCGTCCCAAGGCTGTGCAATGGGATGGCATACAAATTCTCTAAATAGATAGCTGGATGGATAGCTAGCTAGCTAGATGGATGGATGGATAGTTTCCCTTTGCTCCTCACTAGTCTGACTTCACCTGGAATCTTGTGTCCACTTCTGGGCACCAAGATTCACGAAAGATGCAGGAAAACTAGAATGGGTCCAGCGGAGGACAACAAAAATGGAAACACCAGTTTGGAAACGCTGCCCTGTGAGGGGAGACTTAGAGAACGGGGCATGTTGAGCCATGAGAAGAGAAGACTGAGGGGGGACATGAGATCCCCTAGAAGGATCCCCAGTGTTGTCAGTGCCCACTTGCAATGTGGCCGTCGAGTCCAGCAGCCCCTTTTACCAGCCAGGCGGCACGTGGGTGCAAGACTCGGCTCCAGGCCAGCCAGCCTTCCCATCATCCTCGTGCGCACCCCAGCGCCGCTGCCTCCGCAGGCTTTCCCCAGATGGGGGCCGACGCTAAGCTGCTCCGCCACCCTGCCCTCCCCTCAGGAGCCGCCCTGATGCCGTGCCAGAGAGCTGGCCCATCCAGCCCAGGTCGCCGCTGCGGCCCCAAGTGGGCCTTTTCCCAGGCCAGGTCTGGTGCGCGCTGCAAGAGCCCGGCCCCCTCCATGTGCCGCACCGGCTCCACCCCTGCGAGAGCAGGTGCATCTGAGTCCCAGGCTCCTGGGGTCCCGGAACAGCTGGGCTGGGAGGGGACCGTCCCACCGGCCACACCACGCAGAGGGCCGTCCGAAGCAGAGGCTGCTGGGAAGGGGGATCACTCTGCCAGCAGCCTCTCCCACATCTCTGGTCTCTGGCCACTCTCATCTTCCCTCCCAAGAATTTCGAGGTCATCTCGCTTGTGTGCATTCTTCGATGTGGTTTGAGGATGAAGCTTCGAGTATGGCTTCTCCCCTGCGTGAATTCTCTGATGTGCATCAGAGTTGGAGGTCTGGTGGAAGCTCTTTCCGCAAACTGAATGTTTGAAGGGCTTCTCCAGTGTGACTTGACTGGTGTGTTTTACGCTGGGAGCACCGACTGAAACGCTTTCCACACCCTGCGCACCGACAGGGCTTGTCCCTTCTGTGAATTGCTTGATGGGAGCTTTCTGAACATTTGAAGGGCTTCTCACCTGAAGGAAATCTTTGATGAAGTTTAAGGTTTTGGCGATTTCTACAGTTCTTTCCACACTGGGAGCATGTGAAGGGTTTCTTTCCAGAGAATGATTTGATGCTCTTCAAGGTAGAAGCGAAGACTGACACCTGAAGGGCTTCTCACCTGAGTGAATTATCTGGTGTCCTTTAAGGTAGGAGATTTGATTGAAGCTCTTTCCACACTCGGAGCATTCGAAAGTTTTCTCACCTGAGTTCTCTGACAAAGGGTCTGGTTTGTAGCATTTCTGTAGCTTTTCCCACATTCTGAGCACTTTAACGGCTTGTGAATCCTTTGAGGGTGCTTAAGGTGAGAACTAAAACTGAAGATTTTCCCACAATCCTGGCACCTGAAGGGCGTCTCCCCATGTGAATTCTTTGATATTAAGGTCGGAGCTGAAACTGAACCCTTCCAGGCACTTGAACGTGCTTTTGCTCCCTGGAAGCCGCTCAGAGACTTTATTTTAGTAATTGGGACGGCATACAAAAACCTTAAACAAATAAATAAATCAAAGGCATTCCTCACCTGTGAATTCTTTGATACAAATCAAGGTGGGGATGCAGCTGAGGCTCTTGCCACAGTTCGAGCAGTTATTGGCCTTCTCCGCACTAAGGAACTATTTGATGTGATTTAAAACTGTAGCTCTGGGGGAAGCTCTCTGGCTGCTCCCAGAGGTCCCCCCCCCACCCATGAAAAGGAAAAAAAAAGGGGGGGGGGAGGAAATAAGGAAAGCCTGAGCTGCAACCAAGCTGCTTTTCACAAGCCAGATCCCTTTCCCTTTCTGTGTGAAACACTTGGCATTTTGGCAGTTTGCCTGCTGACCGAAGCTTTTCCTAGCTCAGAACACTTCTGGCCTTTCTTTCCACTCTGCGCAACTCTTTTGTTCCCTTTAGAACATTGTTCTCGCATGACGCCGTCATGGACGTCCGCCCCACCAAAGAAAGAAAGATTCTTCAGCCGTTGCTGTTGAACTTTGGCTTTGCTTCTCCGCTGCCTGTCCTTGGTGCTGCGCCCTCGGCTAAAGTAACACAAAGGGCATTTTTGTAGTGGCCAGGTGCTTAATCCAAAGAGGAAAATGCTTAGCTGAAGGGAGGGTTTATCTAACGTATTAAATAGCCTCTGATAATGAGTAGCGCTGGACACAGTTCAAACAAGGTTGCTCAGAGGGATAGGTAAACACAGGAGCACAGTCACGGCAACACGGGAAGATAAGCCAAGTCGTGGCAGAAAAGGTTACCCGAGAGCATAAGCCAGCCAGAAATGAGGTGCCCAGCAGCGCATCCCACGTGGCGGAGCAGGGGAACCCCAGTCCCACGGGGAGGGCTCCTCCCGCCGGGGTGCTTGACAGCCCAGTCCCCACAGCCAGGCCTCTCCCGCACAGCCATGGGGACTTCCACGCCGAGGAAGAGGATGCAGAACAAGCGCATGAATCCCAGGCAGGTTTAGGTGCCCTTGCAGGGCAATTGTGAATGGGGAGCGGGGCGCTCACCGGCCGTCACCCTGGGGGCAGCCCTCGGCACGGTGTCCCCCTTGGCTGCCCCGGATTCTGCTGACTGCCTTCCTGGCAGGGCCTGGGGGCCCCCTCTGGACCCTGCACGCACCCGCACCTCCCTCCCACCTCACAGGCATGCCTGCAAACGCCCCCAAGGGGCCGCCACCCAGGGACACGGCTCGGGGGGCCACTCCCAGCCCTCTGCGGCTGGCCGATTTCTGCAGCTCCGCTGGCCAGACCCCAGCCTGCTCCTGGCCTTGGATATCAGCACAAAAGCACCAACCAGCCCGGCTGAGTTCGCCGGGGAATTTTGGAGCATCTTTTCTCCATCTGCTTTGTTCCACCAGGCTGCCTCCTCCCTCCTCCTGCCCGGACACCTCCTTTGCTGGGAACTCCTCTCTGGGAGGGCAAGAGACCAGAGGGGTAGGTCCATTTGCCCCAAAATGGGTGCCCCCAAGTACCTGGGGCCTTCTACCTCAGTCCAGTGGCAGACCCCAGTTGGGGGGGTGGGTTTCCAGGTTACACTTGCTCTTAGGGACTAGCAGCTTGGATAGATGCAAAACGTCTCAAGTGTTTGCACTACCAGGTGTTCTGCTGGCAAGAGCAAGAGGGGGAGGGGGGCAGGGAGACTTGAGAACAAAAAGGAGGAGGAGGACCCTCCTCGGCTTTGCTTCCTCTTCATTGAGAAACACCCCTGCCCCCCAAATAGGACATCTTTTGGTGCCATCTCAGCCTGGCATCCTCTGGGTGGCCCCTGCATGATCCCCTCTGCTGGAGCCATCATCCTTCCCGGGGATGATGGGTGTGGCTCTGCCCGCCCTAACCTGACCATGGTGCTGCTTGCCACCAATTCCTCCTTCCCGTCCACCCCTCCGTCCTTCCATCCTCTTGACCCACGTGTTCAGAAGCCTCCCGGACAGATGTGTGTTTCCCTTTGAAGTGGCCGCTGCCCAGCTGAGCAAGCCCTCTCGCGCCATTGGCCGAGTGGGTCTGTGAGGTCACAAAGGCCCCGCAGCCGGACGCTGCGGGATTGGCCGAGCTCTTGCGACGGAGCAGAGGGGCTGTCAGGATGGGGGGCCCCCCTCCCCACGTGTCCAGACCAGGGAGGCAGAGCCTGAACCGCGCTGTCCTCCATCAGAGGCAGGAAGCCGGACGTGGCCCGGGCACCCGGGACTCAGAAATCCAGCATGGGGACTCCTCCATCGGCTCCGTAGCGGTTCGCGCGCTGCCATGTCAGAGAGGCTGAGCCTCCCGCGCCAATCTGCTGCTTCCGCAGGCGGGCGATGTGATGAGGACCTTCCGAAGTTGGAGCGCGGCAGAACCGATGGGGGGGTGGGGGAAGAGTCTTTCTGGGCTGCCTTTCACGGCAGGAACCTCTCAAGCCACACGGAAGCCACGTGGCTGCGCTGGGCAGATGCCTGCCGCCGGTCTGCGCGCCGTCGAAAGAAGACGGCGCAACCACAGAGGCGGCGGCGGTCCGGGCGGCTAGTCCCCAGGGCGCACTTCGAGGTGCGCAGGACCGCCAAGCGTCCCCTCCGGCTCCACCGTGTGCGATGGGCGCGAGGCGGCGGGGCTTGCGCGGAGTCCTGGGAGGGAAGTCCGAGGGCGGCTGGCGAGGCGGCCCGGACCCCGCCCGTCGCCCCAGGGCTCCCGGGCTCCGGAGCGCCGCGGCCGAAAAGCCGGGAGAGCCTGACGCCGCTTCCGCCCGGCCCCAAGATGGCGGAGTGCCGGGCGTCCCAGAGGGGCGCCTGTCGAGGGAGGAGCCCTGTCAGGGGAGGCTCGCAGAGAGAGGATTGTAGAGCGGCCTTCCGCTCCTGGGGGTGGGGGGGACACGTGACGGGGGGGGGGGGGGGGAGGGCGCCGATCCCCTCCCCTCCTCCCCCTCCCGCTGCCCCCCCGAGCATCCGCGGGCGAGGGGGGCCGTTGGGGGGGAACGTGGCCGAAGCCGCAGGGGAAGCCCGAGCTGAGCGCTCCCCTCGTGGCCGCTGCAGAGGCGGCACCGCGCCCCGCAAGGGACCCGAAGGCCGCCGGGCCGACCCCCCCAGACCCGCCCCCTCCTGGTCACCTCCGGGGCGGGGGGCCCCCGCCCCCCCCCCCCCGCCCGCCCTCCCGCTGCGGGTCCACCCCCGCCCCGCCCCCCGCCCAGCCCGCCCGAACCCCCGGCCCCGGATCGCCGTCTTTTTGGGCGCCCCCCCCCCCCCCCCCGCTTTGGGATCTTCGTGAATTTAGGCAGCAAAGGATGCAGAGACGGCCTGGGGGAAAGCGGGAATGAACGGGGGTCCAGCAGCTCCGCGTGGGGGGCAAAAGGAGGACGGAGGATGACAGAGAGGCAGAAGTGCGGCGTTCCTGGCTGAGCTAGGTCTTCTCTGAAGGGAGGATCTCTGCGGGTCCTGATCAAACATAGAAGCAGCGAGGCAGAGGGGGCCTCCTGGGCCATCTAGTCTGCCCCCAGTTCCAGCCGGCTCTGCTCACAGAAACAGTACGAGTTGGATGGGTCCTCCCGGGCAATCTAGTCAGACCCCGCCTCCAGCCAGCTCTGCTCATAGAAACATAGACACAGAGCGAGGCAGAAGGGTTCTCCAGGGCCATCTAGTCTGACCCTGGCTCCAGCGGGACACCTTCTGGAGCAAGCGGTCAAGGATCGACTCCCTGGGAGTCCAAATCTCCCAGTCCCAGAAGCTCTATTCTAGATTCAAAGAAGAGCTGGAGGAAGGGCTCCCAGAACCGCTGTCTCATCCCTGAGAGGCCCTTGAGGACGGGGAGAGTCAGGTGGCTGGAGGAGGCCATGCTGTCCTGCACCTGCAGGGGACCTGCATGGCTGAGGCAGTATGGCAAGGCGGGAGAGCGCAGGGGCCAAGCACAGCCCAGGGCAGGCAGGGAGCAGGCGCTGGGCCGTCCCAGAGCCTGCAGGAGGGCAGAGAGTCAGGATGTGGCTCAGACAAGATGCAGGCACGTCTGCAAACGGACCTCTGCATCATGGGGGCCCGTTCCGGAGGGGAGAGCCGGCCTTTGCGTCCTTTTTCCCTGGGCTCCCAGATGGAGCTGATCAGGAGGCAGGGAGCTCCCGCAGGGCCCCAAGACCGATCCGGCAACCACGGTGGTGTCCTGGTTCTGCCTCCAGAGCAGCCCTGATCCCGAATGCTGGTCAAATTTCCGGATGACCCCCAGTGGGGAGGGGGAGGGAATTCCCTGGAAGACAGAAACAGAAAGGGAACTTAATCAGTTGAAGCATGGGCTGAAAAGAGCAGGATGAAATGGAGCATGGACAGGTTCCTCACTGTCAGGGCAGTACGGGATCTGGGGGGCTCTCCCACCCTGGGGCCCACAAGAGGTGGCTGGCCAGCCCTCTGAGAGGGGCACTTCCCTGGGTGTCCTGCCCGGAGCAGTGGCTGGGCCTGATGGCCCTCCAGGCCCCTTCCAACTCTCCTGTTCTCTGATTCACCGATCGCATCTTATGGACAGGAGGCAGCAGTGGCTTAAATGGCTCCTGGCGAAAATGGAAGAAGAAAGCGGAAAAGCAGAACTGCAGCTGAATGTGAAGGAAACAACAAACACAACACCACAAGAACAACATTGTCAAGAATGAACACCTGAAATTAACTATTCTACATCCTTGGCTGAGTCATCAGTTCAGAGGGAGGCTGCGGCCAAGAAATTCAGAGAAGACGCAGACTCGGAGGCCACAAGGGGAGAACTGGAAAAGAGCAGCGAGCGCCAGGATGCTGTGCTGCAGACATTCATTAATTATCATTTATTCATTTAGGAAGCTTCTATGCCGCCCCATTCGCCGAAGCCTTGAGGCAGCTCACACCAGCATTGCATGGCCAGGATCCTGACACGGCCAGGGTCACCCGCACGGTTGCATTCCCGATACCCACGTCTGCGAGGGAGTGCTGGGCAGACAAGGAGACCAGCCGGGGGAAGAGGGGAACCTCTGCAACAGGTCCTGCAGGGGAGCTGTGCGGATATCCTGGCCTGGCAGAGCGGCAAACCAGCCGGTCCCCGATCGACCCAGGCCAGGCCCTCCGCATGCGTGGGCCCCGGGGGTGTCGCGGGTGGCCACCACTCTTCTGTGAGAGGACGTGCGGCTGCCTCCCTGGGGCCAGGCCCCCTCGGCCTCCGAGCAGGGGCTGCCCTCCACACGGTGCCCCTCTGGGTCCCCCCGGCTTCCCCTCCAGCAGCCTCTCTGCGCACTTCCGTGCCCGACTCCTGCGTTCCTGCGCCCGTGTGCAGCCCCGCTCTTGGCTGTCTCACTAGCTCAGGCAGAGTGGGAGCCTCGGGACCCTCCGGACTGCGCTGGATTGCACCTCCCATCGTGCTGGCCATGGCGGAGAGGGAGCCCAAGTCCAACAACGCCTCCGAGATGGCGCCTCACGCTGCTTCCCGGAACAAAATGGATCCTCCTGGGGAACCTGTCAGGGTCAAGCAGCAAACCAGAGAAGACTCCTGAGGCGCCGCAGCCGCTCCATCCTCTGGGTGGAGGAAGCCTCTGCTCCCGAGGAGCATCCAAACAGACGAGCGGCCATCTGTTTTGGAGGGCTACAGTCCTAGCCCAAGCTGGCCCCCTCAGGGAGCTTCAGATGCGTGCTCTCCTTTGGGGAGAAAGGGGGAAGGGACCAGCACCGGCTTTGGATGCAAGTGGCCCTGGGTTCATGTCTCTGACAGGGTCTCAGCCAGCCTGGCAGGAGGAGGAACTCGGGGGGGGTCTTGCTTCACCCCCCCCCCATAAACACGGAGCTTGCGCTGCCTCCCCTCGCAGCCAAAACCCATCTCCTTCGTAGGGGCAAAACCGGGCTCCCTCTACCCGGAGACTGGTGATGCTGGACAAGGGAAAATTCTGATTGGTGCTTTTCTGCACCCTCCGTTGTACTTAACCCCCCTCCCCCACTTTATAGAAGAAAAAGTTTCACTTCTGGGGCTGAGGCAGTGTTTCCCCTCGTCCACTTGTGGGGCAGCAGCAGCCATGGGGCCTGATTGGATCCTCCCAGTGACGCTGGTGCTTCTGCTGGGGCCACCGCTGGTCTCCGGAGGGGGAGGGAGGCAGGAGTCCCCAGGTGAAGAGGGGACCACTTGGAGGGGGAGGGAGGGAGGGACCCTCTGTCCTCCCCCACCCCAGGGGTCACGAAAAATTTGGGCTGTTTGGGTGTCTCCGACCTCTGGTGACCCCCTGAACGAAGCCCCCAGGATGGCCTGTCCGTGGCAGCCCCGAGTTCCAGGCTGCGGCGCCTTTCACGGCACCCCAGCGCCTCTCCCTCGTCTTCCTCGCCTCCTCCTGCTTCCTCTCCTTTGCCCTGAGGATAAAACTGTGGGTCCCTGGTGCGGGGGTAAGAGGTTTGGGAATGGGGAGGGCCTGAGGGGTGCCCCCCCTGCCATTCCATGGGTGCTCAGAGACCCTGGGAAAGTGGCCCCCATCCATGGCTTGGGGTGCTTTGCCAGGGGGTGAATTGACTGCTCCCCGGATGCTTTGAAGGGGAGGAGAGGAGGGATGGGATGCAGGGAGAGGAGGTCTGTTTCTGGGGCTCTCCGCAACTACGCGGCAGGTGGAAGTTCAGCAGGGGAAGCGTCCCTCCTCTCTGCTCTCCTTGCTGGACAAGCTGCTCCTGCTGAAGGGGGAGAGCCCCCCGAAGAAGCTGGGGGCTGCAGGGATGGGGGGGTGAGAGTGGGGAGAAGCTGCCCCTGCCCTCCTGCCCCTGCAGCCCCTCTGGAGGAATGTTTGCCCCAGGCTCGCATCCTCCAAGAGGCCTTTGGCAAGAATCCTTCCAACATCCATGATGTCAGTCAGAAGTTCAACTGGGACGCAAGGTATCCAGCAGTGAGGGGGCATCTTGACCTGCTGTACGTCTGCCCGGCAGAGCATTCTAGGCATTACAGTTCAACAGATCTAGAGATAAGCCCATTGGGAAGGTTGGGGCAGGTGGTAGAAATTTTCACTAGTTGAATCAGCTGGTGAGTGATGGGTGAGTTCCGGGAGCCCGGGTCTCCTCCCCTGGGAAACTCACAAGCACTGCATGAGAGCAACAGCACCCATCTTCCCTGGCAGCTGGTGTTCCTGACAGACTGAGGGTAGCATGGGGCCATGAGGACTAGCACCCTGGGATGGCCTTCTGCTCTTGCCTGAAGTCACCTGATCCCCTTTCAAGCCCCCTCTGCCTTTTGCAGAGGTGAATCCCTCAGGTTAACTCCCTCCTTTGCCCTGTCCCGAATCCCGGCTTGGGGGCAGGGGTGTGTGGTGCAGTGGTTACAGCACCAGGCTGGGATTCTGGCGACCCAGGTTCCCATTCTGATCTGAGCACGGAGCTCCCTGGTTGCCTGTGAGCAGCCGCTGCCCCTCCGCGCAGCCTCCCTCGCAGGGCTGTTGGGGGCAGACTCGGTGGGGGGAGACTGTGCCTGCTGGGCGGAGGTCCCGTGGCTGATGGGGTGGATGTTTCCTTCCGACTGGCAGCGGGTCCAGGGAGGCGGGCACAGGCGCCGTCCTGAGGGCACTTGGCCCTCTGTGCTGCTCGTTAATGGAGCCCGGCGTGGTCCCTCTTCCCTCGCAGCCTCACGGCGGTTCCTGGCCCAGGACAAGTTCGAGTGCCGCTTCTCCAACGCGACGGGGCGGGAGCAGGTGCGCCTCCTGTACAGGTACATCTACGACCGGACGGAGATCGCGCGCTTCGACAGCGCCCTGGGCCGGTACGAGGCCCTCACGGTGCTGGGGGAGCCCGCAGCCGAGTACTGGAACAGCCAGGAGGAGGTACTCGCGGTCAAGCGGAGAGAGGTGGACTCCTTCTGCCGGTACAACTACGAGAAGATCTACGGCCCCTTCGCGCACGGGCGGCGCGGTGAGTGGGTCCCGGCGGAGCGCGGCCCCCCCTTCCCCCCCCCCGGCGCCCCAACACGACCGCGGAGCCCGCAGCCCCTCCCCTCTGCCCCGGCTGGCCCTCCCCGCATGGGGGGCGCGCGTCCGCGGGGCCGCCCCCTCCGCGCTGCAGGGGGACTTGGTGGACCCCCGAGGGGCGCGCGGGAGACCCGGGGCTGGGGGACCCACGTCCTCGCCCCCCCGGAGCGATTCAGTGGGAGGAGGCAGGACTCCTTCAGTTGCGTTTCTGGAAGGCGCTGGTCGGGAAGCGGCGGGGGGGGGGCGCCCCTCCGACCCCGCGCCCCATGTTGCAGACTGTTCTTTTAAAATCATCTGGAAACAGAGGGAATTTGTGAAATAAAACTTAGCATTTGGGCAATACATGAAGTTTGACTATTTCATGCTCGCTTGACAGAAAAAAGTTCCATTTGAGCCATTTCTTCCTTTTCCCTTCAAAAAATTAAATATATTCTTATACTTTCTATAAAGAAACAAGGATATCTTTTACACATTCTTTGAATTTCTCTTTGTTCTTCTATGGTGATATTTATACAGAATAATTTACGTTTTTCATAATTAAGTTTAATCTCTATAGCCCTTCAATATTTCTAATTTTTTAGAGGCTCTATTCTTTTATTTTTTTAAAAAAAACAGACCTATCATCAGCATACAAATTAATGTTATATAGCTTAGCTTGTATTCTTATTGGCATTTTGTCTGAGCCCAGCTGCCAGAGGTTCTATGGGAAAGTCACACATCAATGCTGATACATGATTCCCCTTCCTGAATTTTTCAGAATCCACACCAATAATCGAAACCACTGACTCCTCACCTCCAAACAATTTATTTTATAAGCGTAATAGCATCTCACCCATATTTATCACTTTTGTAAGTTCAAATGTGTATTTCCATTCCACATGATCAGCTGTATCGTCATCTTGCATTGTCTCAGTTTAGACTCGTACAAAATGTTTAACTCTCTACATTGCGTCTTCTGACATGTATCCTCACTGATCTATATATATAATTTAAAATAGTAACTTATTAATAATAAGCTGCTAGAAAACCTTAGACCATGTTGTTGTTGTTGTTAGTCGCGAAGTCGTGTCCGACCCTTCGCACCCCATGGACAACCTTCCCCAGGCCTTCCTGTCTTCCATCATCCCCAGAGTCCACTCAGACTCACACCGACTGCTTCAGTGACCCCATCCAGCCACCTCATCCTCTGCTGCCCCCTTCTTCTTTTGCCCTCATTCGTTCCCAGCATCTGGCTCTTCTCCAGGGAATCCTTCCTTCTCATTGGGTGGCCAAAGTATTTGAGCTCCATCTTCAGGATCTGGCCTTCTAGAGAGCATTGGGGTTGATCTCCTCCAGGACTAACCGGTTTGATCACCTTGTGGTCCAAGGGACTCGCAGGAGTCTCCTCCAGCACCACAATTCAGAGGCCTCAATCCTTTTGCGCTCAGCCTTCCTTATGGTCCAGCTCTCACAGCCATACATTGCAACTGGGAAAACCACAGCCTTGACTATATGCACTTTTGTTGGCAGGGTGATGTCTCTGCTTTTTCATATGCTGTCTAGATTTGCCAAAGCTTTCCTCCCCAGGAACAATCGTCTTTTAATTTCTTGGCTGCAGTCCACGTCTGCGGTGATCTTGGAGCTCAGGAAAATAAAATCTGTCACTACCTCCATTTCTTCCACATCTATTTGCCAGGAAGTGAGAGGACCAGTTGCCATGATCTTAGTTTCTTAATGTTGAGTTTCAAGCCCAACTTCTGCACTCTCCTCCTTCACCCCCATCAAGATGCTCCTTAGTTCCTCTTTACTTTCTGCCATGAGAGTGGTATCATCTGCATATTTGAAGTTGTTGATATTTCTCCCAGCAATCTTGCTTCCAACTGGTGATTCATCTAGGCCCACCTTTCTCATGGTGTGCTCTGCATATAAGTTAAACAGGCAGGATGACAGTATACAGTCTTGACGAACTCCTTTCTCAATTTTGTACCAATCATTGGTTCCGTGTCCAGTTCTCACTGTTGCTTCTTGGCCCGCGTATAGATTTCTCAAGAGATAAATAAGATGGTCTGGTACTCCCACCTCTCTAAGAACTTACCACAATTTGTTGTGATCCACACAATCAAAGGTTTTAGCATAGACAAAGAAGTAGAAGTAGATGTTTTTCTGGAACTCCCTAGCTTTCTCCCTGATCCAGTGTATGTTGGCAATTTCATCTCAAGTTCCTCTCCCTTTTTGAAATCCTGCCTGTTCTTCTGGTAGTTTTTGGTCCACATACTGCTGGAGTCCAGCTTGTAGGATTTTGAGCATCACTTTGCTATCATGTGACATGTGTGCAATGCTGCGGAAGTTTTAACATTCATTGGCATTGCCCTTCTTTAGGATCGGAATGCAAACTGACCTTTTCCATTCGTGTGGCCACTGTTGTTTTTTCAAAATTTGCAGGCATATTGAGTGTAGCACTTTTACTGCATCTTCTTTTAATATTTTGAATAGCTCAGCTGGAATACTGTCACCTTCACCAGGTGTGTTTTTGCTGAGACTTCCTCAGGCCCATTTGACTTCACAGTCCAGGCTGTCTGGCTCGAGGTCAGTGACCACCCCATCGAGGTTATCAGGGACGTTAAGCTCTTTCTTGTACAGTCCTTCTGTGTAATCTTGCCATCTCTTCTTAATCACTCCTGCCTCTGATAGGTCCCTGCCATTTTGGTCCTTTATCATGCCCATCTTTGCATGAAATGTTCCCTTCATATATCCAATTTTCTTGAAGAGATCTCTGGTCCTCCCTATTGCACTGTTTTCTTTCATTTCTTTGCACTGTTCATTTAAGAAGGCATTCTTAATCTCGTCTAGCTATTCTCTGGAAATCTGTATTCAGTTGGGTGTATCTTTCCTTTTCTCTCTTGCCTTTCGCTTCCCTTCTTTCTTCGGCTATTTGTAAAGCTTCCTCGGACAGACATTTTGCTTTCTTGCATTTCTTTTTCTTTAGGATGGTTTTTGTTGCTACCTCTTGTAGAATGCTGCGAACCTCCATCCATAGTTCTTCAGGCACTCTGTCTATCAGATATAATTGCTTAAATCAATTTTTCACCTCTACTGTATATTCCTCAGGGATATGATTTAGGTCATACCTGAGTGGCCTAGTGCTTTTCCCTACTTTCTTCAAATTAAGCCTAAATTTTGCAACAAGAAGCTCATGATCTGAGCCACAGTCGGCTCCTAGTCTACTTTTTCCTGACTGTATAGAGCTTCTCCATCTTTGGCTGTAGAGCACATAGTCAATCTGATTTCTGTGTTGACCGTCTGGTGATGTCCATGTGTAGAGTTGTCTCTTGGGTTGTTGGAAAAGAGTGTTTGCTACGACTATCGTATTCTCTTGACAAAATTCTACCTGCCTGTGCCCTGCTTCATTTTGTACTCCAAGGCCAAACTTTCTTGTTATTCTGGTTATCTTTTGGCTTCCTACTTTAGTATTCCAATCCCCCATGATGCTAAAGACATCATTTTTGGGAGTTAATACTAGCCGTTGTAGGCCTTCAGAGAACCGGTCAACTTCCGCCTCTTCAGCACCAGTGGTTGCGGCATAGACTTGGACTACTGTGATGCTGAATGGTTTGCCTTGGATTCAAACTGAGTTCATTCTGTCATTTTGGAGATTGTATCCCAGTACTGCTTTTCCCAATCTTTTATTGACTTTGAAGGCTACTCCATTCTTCTGAGTTTCATGCCTGCAGTAGTATACCTGATGGTCATCTGAATTCAATTCACCCCTTCTTGTCCATTTTAGTTCACTGATTCCTAAGATGTCAGTGTTCAGTCTTGTCATCTCTTGTTTGCCCATATCCAGCTTGCCTTGATTCATGGATCTTACATTCCAGGTTCCTATGGAGTGTAGATCTTTGCAGCGTTGGACTCTCCTTTCACCACCAGATACATCAGCAGCTGAGTGTCCTTTCGGCTTTGACCCAGTCGCTTCACTCTTTCTGGCGCTACTAGTACTAGCCCCCTGCTCATCCCCAGTAGCATATTGGACACCTTCCGACCTGAGGTGCTCATCTTTTCGTATCATATCTTTTTGTCCTTTGGTACTATCCATGGGGTTTTCATGGCAAAGATACTGGAGTGGGTTGCCATTTCCTTCTCCAGTGGATCACTTTTTGTCAGAGCTCTCTGCTATGACCTGTACGTCTTGGGTGGCCCTGCATGGCATAGCTCACAGCTTCATTGAGCTACGCAGGCCCCTTCGCCACGACAAGGCCGTGACCCATGAAGGAGTGTAGAAATATAAAATACATCATAAAATTGAAAGAAAAAAAGCAATACAAATTACAACCTCCGCCTGCCCCCGTATATTAAGAACAAAACACAACCTGTGCATCCTGCCACCGGGACCATGGCTGTATAATATTTGTACCTTTGTCCCTTTCCTCTTCTTTTCTTGTAGCTTTCACTCTCTGCCCTTTCAGGAATACCCTCTTCCATCCAGAACTGCATTCACTGAATCAGCCGAAGTTTTAATACCCTTCCCTTGCATTAGTACGTATTCAGTAAACAAAATCCACAGACCATTAAAATCATTCTTTCTCAGTTCTGTTTTTCAACAAAATCCTATTTCACCTTTGCATTAACAGCTATATTCCAAATTGTTTTATACCATTTACTGAATGGTATAGTTTCTCCGTCCTATTCTTTATTATGATTTTTGCTGATGTTGCCAAATTTATTATTAATTTTTTGATAGTCTATTTACATTTCTATTTGTAAACTATTAACAATAATGCATTTTAGGACCTGCTTCAGTTTTAAAGTTCAATTTCTTGCTAGTCATCTTAAAAACCCTTTTCCAAAATTTCTTAATATTTTCATAATTGCTCCACATAGGGAAATAGGTTCCCATTTTTTCTAACTAACATAATTTTTCATATTTTCACCTGTCTTTCATTGTAAAAGTGCCCAATCTTTGGGCTA